CTTTGGGATATCCTTTCGACCTTCGCCCAGATCCTGCAGTTCAATTTGACGCATAATTTGGCAAAGAAAAGAGCCTGTGTCACAGAGCCTTGGGCGAACGAAAGCCGCGAACTCATGAGGACCGCATCCGCCACCAATCTTTCCCATCCTATCTTGGATAAGATAGAGCCGTTACTCAGGTCCTCCTTCTTCTGATTTTTCTCGTACAGAAGCCTTGAGGTCGAAAGAATGCCTGCTGCCTTCTCAAGTTCTCCCCTCTCGAGTAGGTATTCTACTCGGGCGAGTCGGTATGATAGATTTGCCAGGCAAGAGACTTCATTTTCGTTCAGATATCGATCCGCGCGCGTAAGAAGAGCTTCAGCCTTCTTGCAATGCCCTAAGCGACAGTACTGCGAAACCAAACGTGACAATATGATGATGGCTGCAGAAAAGTCCCTAGTCCCTTGGACCTCCGTGATGCGTAGGACCAGTTCGAGAGCGACGAGCTGGAGTTTCCAGAGCCCGTAAATCTCCGTGTAATCAACAATGGCTTTGACCTGAAGAAAGTAATAGTCCACATCGTCAACGCACGAAGAGAGCGTGTCTTTGTCTGGACAGTTGCGCATCATTGAATTCCACGAGCGCAGTATTCGATCCAATTCATCTGAGCGTAGGTCCCCCTCATGAAGACCTAGGGTGAGACAAACTGAATTCTTCAGGTGTGTCGCGTAAAGTTCCACGTCAGTATCACTACCAATTTCTTGAGCGTTGTCGAGGCATTTGACGCTTTCCTCGACAAGTCGACGGACAGTTGGCTGTTCTAGTGAACCTGAGTGCTCCAAAGAGAAGCGCAAACCCATCAAGATGACACGTAGGCGACGGATGGGCCGCGATTCAGGAGAGTATACTTCCAAGACTGTACTGAGGAGCGTATCAAATGCCGAACGGAAGCCCTCGTCATCATGAGCCTGAGACGGTAAATCGCTCAAAATACCGAGCTGCCATTCCAGAAGGAGGCCCCTCTGCAGAGACTCAAGGGTAGGGCAATCGAAAAACTTGGCATGGTTTAAATCCCGGAGACGCAAACTCGTCCTCAAAAACGCAGAAAGTATGCGGTTGAAAGTAAAGCTGCTGCTCTTCGAGTCTTGACAGGCCCGGTGTGGAGAGACACCGACAGCATCGGATACGAGTTGCTTCAAGACCCCTGCGCTAATATGCTCGTTGAGGGAAGCTCTGAATGCTTCTGCACATTCAACGCCCATGTTCGCTTCGAGGTATAAATGAGCGAGCCTTTCGTACTTTAATGCTGCGAATCCTGTTCTTCGTTGGGCCGGCGAGCAATTCTCGAGAAAGTTGATTGATTGTCTCAAAGCATGCATGAGCTCGCGATAGCCTTTCCCGGACTCCTTGTCTTTGATATACCGAGACCAGAACAGATTGGACAGTTTCACAAATCCTGTGCCACTCTCATTCTCGTCCGATCGCTCCTGCTTCCCTTCTGCTGTGCATTCGATCGCCACCAGGAGGCGTTGGCAGTCGGAGAATGTCGAAAGTAGTGACTCCCATGAAGGGCTCTGTGACATGATGGACAATTTACCAACTGCGAGAGCTGAATCTACCGCGGCCAGCACGATACTCCTACAAGTTTCGAGCCGCTTGTAGAATACCTCGAGGTCCATTTGGTCCTCATCTGCTGCAGGTTTCTTCCCAAGATATCGTCGCAGGAATCTCACAAATCCGTTCAAATATGCATAAATATTCGGCAAAACCTCCCTTTCCTCGTCAGTAGCATCAAGTCCCTTGGCCACCTTCTCCCCTAACCAGCTCATTGCAATCTTCTTCAACTTCGCTGCTTCGACGAGCAGCTCATCTAAGTCATTCTCATTTCCCCTAAGAGGCGTACCAATGGCTGCAGTAACTTCAGAGAGAGACATGGGCACGCTCGGTTGACGCATTTTGGTCGAGCTTTTCAAAGCCTGCAAGTGAAGTGCCGCGAGTTTGCATCGTACAGTGGCTGATGAAAGTAAATTTTCGTCCGCCAGAGGGTTGAGGGCCTCGGTGAAAAGGGTTGATGCCTCCTCGAAACATCCTGCTTCTTGAGCAAGTTGTCCGAGGATGGTTGCTATTCGGGCTACCGAAAGATTGTTTCTCAACTTCGATGAAGGTCGTTTTTGTGAGTTAGCGACAGCTGCCTGCAGTCGGACGATTGTTTTGTATGTTGCAGCGAACTCGGCCTTCTCGATACCTTTGGAATGGTTGACGAAAGCCGCTAAATAACGCGCCAGCGGCTCCCACATCTCTTTGACATCGTCGCAGACGTGACCAGACAATTTCCAGCTCATGCACCGAATCTCAAGTGATAATAGTTGAAGGGTCAATGATGTTATCGGTTTCAGTGATTCTTTGGTGGCGTTGATATCATTTGGCTTCTGTGTTGCGGAGCACATAGACAATATCGTGTTAGATAGCAGTTGAAGCTGCATAGCCGCCTTGTCCCGTGTTATCGTCTGGGAATCAACCGCTGCAGTGATCAGATTCGCTGGGCTGCTTGGATTTGTCAATTGCAAGGAAGTTAAGACTTTATGCACTGTCGCGGCCCGTTTCTCCGCTGCTATGAGCCGAAGGGCGTTGGACTGGAAGGAAATAATCAAGCTGTGCAATGGTCGAGCGTGTGATAGGTTCTTAAAGGATATGAGATCGGACATTCGTTCCTTGGCAGCTTCTTCCTCCGTGCTTCGCTGGTCCTTCCGGCCGACAGTGCCGTCTTTGCCAGTGTCCTGACAATCCAGGTATTGATGGACCCTCCTCTTAAGACCCCGTAGTTCTTTGTAGGCCAAGTCATTCAGTCCCAGAGATAAATATCTTCCTGCTAAGACACATGCGCCTTGTTCGAGCTGGATATTCAGCGGCCCATTTCCCTGGCTGCTCTGTTCGGCTTTCATATTCCTCAAGCAGGCAAGTGCCAGACTAGCACACTCAGCGACTGCGAGTAGGCCGCCGTCGATTTTGGCTGCATCCGGTTTTACACATTGTGGTGTCTTCGATCTCCTCGCCGGTTTTGTGACGCGATTCGGTGAAGCTGGGTGAAGAGGCGTAGTCGGTACACGAATTTCAGATGACTTTGATGCATCTGCAAGTGTCTTCAATGTTGTGTTAAAGATCTCTGTCGCCAGTGAAACCTTTTCCTGACATGACAAACGCGCTGCATCATGTTCGACCGCAGCAATTGTTGTTGCACCTTTGGCCGAGACGTTTGTTTTGATTGTCGCTCTACTCCGTCTCGAGGATGCAGACACGGCCTTCTTCGTCCGACTCGTCTTCTTCATAGATTCGCTCTCGATGTCGGGGACCGGTTTCGTTGAACCGCGAAAAAGAGACTGGAGGGACAACACTGTGGCATTGCAGCATGTTGAGGTTGAGCGCACGGCTTGCTTCACCGAATCCAGTGAGGATTCAGGAAGTAGTGTTGCAACTGCCATATCAATCTGTAGTCACCTGAAGCCCTGCAAGGTTAGATGTGACCATGAGTTACGGCCATAGACACATTGAGGCTGCGGAGCTCATGTCAACTCTGTCTCTCAGCGTCGGGCCAAGCCTCAAGCGGTGGTTGTCGCAGCAACAGAAGCACACTACTCCCGCCAAGGCATAGCGCCGTCGGTTCCCCGACTCTCCGATCCAAAGGCCTTTTTGGCCGATCTTAACGTAGTTCAAGTGTCGCAGCCAAGAAAATAATACATTCTGCATCATCAACAACATGTCTATAACTCCTCTATACCATATGGTCCGTGGCCTACCCGGGCCCCGAACGCTGGGGAGACTCCGCCTCCAGGTTTCACCGCGATACTGCCAGTATTCCACTTCGGAGCATATGCCGAAGATCGCTCAACCATCGTTATGGCAGTCCATGATCCCCAAGTTCATTCGAAATCGGCGCGCCAAAGCGGAAACTTCCCCTACTAAATCGAAAGAATGGAATCCAGCTAGTTTCTACATCGTCATATTCATCTTGATCGGGTCGCAAGCCATCCGAATGATTGCTTTGAAGAACGAATATAATGCATATACTCGATCAACCGACGCGAAGATTCGACTTCTACGGGAGGTGATTGAGAAAGTACAAAGAGGGGAGAAGGTGGATGTAGAGAAATTGCTCGGCACCGGAGATGAGGCAAAGGAGAGAGAATGGGAAGAAGGTTCGGATCTCTGGTCGCTTCATACATGGCTTTTATGAGGACTAACATTTCTCTCGTCTCACAGTTCTTCGCGAGATCGAGGAAGAAGATTCTCTCTGGCATCGGAAGAACGCAGGCTCGGAATCCAGTCGTCCAATAACGCCTGAGCAAGAGCAGAAACAGCAGGTGGAGCAGTCTCGATCTAAGGATCCCGTTGTTCCTGCTGAAGGGGTGTCAACCCAGGAGCCACCAAAGGATGGAGCCGCAAGACGCAAGTTGAACTTCTTCTAGCCTGGTTGAGTGTGCGGACCTTCCGTGCCAACGCAATAACTCATTTTCTCCTTTACGAGTTCCGGCCCTTCAAAGAGGCGAGTTCGTTTCCACGAAGCTTCGCGGCGACGCTCATGGTGCGACAAGGAGCTTTGCTGAGTCCATTCGGGCTGAAACTTTCTGGTTCGTGCCGTCGCTTTGTTCTTACGTCTTTGTCTGACCGGGACTTAGGATTTGGAAGTCAGCCGATGGGCCTTACGGCTTCCATCTTTTTGTTGATCCTAGTCGGAATTACTCCTCCACTTGTCTTCTTCTTTGATACCCAGATGTTTTCAAGACTACAGAGAATTGCACAGACCTGTATATTATTTACTTCTCCTGTACAGACGTTGTCTTACGTGTATGAATATGTTTTGCCATCTTTCTTATAAAGTCAACGTCTGGTTCGTGCGCAGCAAAAACACACTTTCGTATCTAGCCCATGTTTGATCTCATGAGCTGCACAAGTTTATCTTGCATGTCGCAGAAGATATTGATTGCCTGCAGTGGTGTCAGTCATTTAGTCTTCCCCACGTTGTGTCAAACTTCATCCAAACTTGCCTGTGTGAGTTTCTCTTCGCTTGCTCCATGCAAGTCCCGTGTGAAGGCAATCCTGTAAGCAGATTCGTCGTTGACAAATGACTCTTGTGCCACAGAGATTGCTGGTGCAACATCAGAGTCAAAGAGAGACTCCATATGAGGTGCAGAGCTGGGTTGCGAAAGCTGTTTCAGGAGGTCTGGCGCGATTGTGATATGGTCGACTCCTGCCAGAGCATATATCTCGTTTGTGGATGTCAAGCTAGCTGGCAAGACCTTCGTTTTTGCATTGATGGACTTATAATGCTTCTGAATTGCAACACAAAGAGGCAAGAGCTTGTTTGGGTCCGTGAATCTGGCGATCTGTCAGTGCAACCTTGTTCAGATCAAGTCAGGCAATTTGCTGGAGATGTCATTCTCACCCTGGTTCGAAGTGCACCTTCAATTGATTGACATAAGGGGCAATATACGTGCACCCAACCTCCGCGGCTAAGATGGCCTGGGACATTGTGAAGAGCGTCGTGGCTAGCGTTCGCACCCCGGCCATCTCAAGAGCTCGGCAAGCCATCATGCCCTCCCATGTACTCGGAATTTTGATGCAGATACGAGATTGCTCAAAACCTGGTTGCAGGTGTTGGAAGAGCTGGACAATTCCTGTAGCAGAATTGCTTCGTTAGCGGAATTCCGGCAGAGAAACTGTTGGCATACTCAAAGCGTTCACAATTGTGCTTTCCGTGGAGTAAGAGTAGTACGGGTTCGTCTGAACATGAACGTGTCCACGGATATGAGGAGCTACTTTCAAGGCTAATCTAACCATCTATACAATCATTGTCAGCTACTTAGCACCTTTAGTACTATAGCAAAAGTGTCCCTACCGCAATCTCAACTGCCAACTCCTCCAGCGTGACGCCAGTGAATCTGGGCAAAAGATCATTGGCGTCTGAGATAGAATTGCGGATTAACCCGAGGTGTTCTGGCTTCGACAGTTCGCCGTACGCAATAGCCTTCGTTGCAAGTTTTCCAAATCAGGTCATACTCCTGATACTTTGTGAGAATGGACCATGACAAGTGCAACCTACCTGGTTTGAAGTACAGTCTTGGAACGGACCCAAGTCTCTGGCAACTGGTTATATGTTAATAGACTGCCCTGCAGAGACCGAGTTAAGCATCTCACTGGGGCAGTCTGATATATGTACCTAGTTCATCCATTGTGTCACAGTCGACGATGGTTCTGCTGCGGAGAACGTCTAAGCCAGTTTGCATCGTAGCCATCTTGTTGATGTTCACTGGAAATAGAGAAGGATGCTAGGCTAGAGTAGGACGTTGAGAGTTTACGATGCCTTCATTCTTGGGATATCGAAATGAGGGGAAAGCCTGTTGAATATATATACCAATAGGGGTGCCACGAAGCTTCCCCTCATGACAAACAACTCTCAACAACTCAGAACAAAGGAAACTTATCCGATCAACTCAGCTATCTTCCAAGTTTGCGCATGACTTCGGACCGAAGAACATCGCTTCAATAATGTCCGAAGTTGTACCTATCGATGGGGTTCGTCGCGCAAGCTTTAAACCGACTGGCCAACGAACATCGGTTGCTCCACAGCGAAAGTCACGCAGCTTGCTGAAGAACCCTCAGCCAACTTGAGTAACCGGCGTAATGACATATTTTTGGACTGTTAAGTGAGTATAGCCTCCAGACTATCTACCTCGCGGCAGTTTCTTTTACAGTTGAATGACTCAAGCCAAATAGTCTCCCTTTTTCGGATATACATGAACCTTACTCAGTCCATCAATCCTCCGCACTGCAGCTGCTGCAGACCATAGAAATTCTTCCCTTCCATGAAAACAACTCGTAAGAGGAGCAGCGAAGGACTGAATAAATCATCCCGGATGCGCCTATTCTGTTCCCGTCGAATTCCCTCCATAACAATACTGAGGCGATGAGGTCCCGGCCAGCCCTCGCATAGAATTTGTGCAGACAGCCTACGACGTCGGGGACAGAGATAGATAGCCTGAAAGTTTCAGCACTAGGCCCATGGATGGACATAGAAAGTCATGTAATCGTCCACTTCATATTGTAGATGAGAGTAAGCTCGGAGGGCAAACTACCCGTCCAGGACTTGGGTAAAAGGCGCAGATAAAGGTAACAATCACGGATGACAAGAAGATCACTCAGACAACGAAGTAGCGGCATCATTCGCGACATTTGCTGGAACCAGGGACCACAAGTCTCTTCAGCCTCACATGTCGGATAGCGGTCTCTCGTCTATCTACCTCATAGGGCTGCGGAATATAAGCACCTAAAGATTGAAGGTCAGGTGAACCAATCATGCCGTGAAACTTGCCAATTGGCGTTGAATAAGCGCAATGACATGGAACGAAACCGCGCTTGACTTGCAGTAACACTGCAACTTGCATCTTGATCGACTTGAACCTGGTGCTTCTGTTAGGAGAGCTAGCTAGATTGACCCGGCCAAAAGCTTTGTAAGTTGTGTCCAAGTCAGTACATGTCTCCTAATTGATGTGCTGTTATAAACGAGCCGTGGTTGATCTTCCCCTACGTGGGCGTGATAACTGTGAACAACATCTAGAAGCCAGTTGGCTGATATTAATACACAGCTTTGCTGGTCTTCATCACGATAAGCGGAACAGTCCAAACCACCTTCGAGACAGGCATTCCGACGAAGAAGGGAGTACGGCTGACCGAGCAACGTTGAAGTATACCCGAGGGGGACAACGCCTTGGGGCGTTCATCGTGGAACATCGCATCAGATCGACGCAAGTAAATGCATGACCGTACTGCAGCCAGATGCTTGCTCGGATCGTCGGTTCTGACAGCTGAGCTATACGGCTGCCAAATAATGTAGACATATCTGCTGAATTGACTTAGGAGGGTCGCCGCCGGTATCACTACTGCATGCTTACTGAGAATTTAGGCAAACCTAAACTACGCGACAGTATTATGTAACCCTGATATGAAACCCTTTAGTCTCATGGGCAGAGAAGAATGGGCGATTAACGACGGGACGAACATCTCCTTCTCAGGTATCTCGTAAATAACCTCTGCGGTCGCGACAGAATGCCGAAACCAGTGAGATTCAGCTTGGCACGTCAACATCATTCCAGACGGTAGATGACGTGGGCTGAGACCCTTGAGAAGAAGAGGGAAAAGAAAGAGAAAGAGGATGGGAAATTCGCACACAAAAGGGAAGCACGGAAACTGCGAGCGGTGGTGGAATGGAAGAAGAATCTTCCGTGTGGTAATACGGTCGGAATGATTGGCTGGAATGGGCGCAGCATGGCCGAATCCCGTGACTTGAGCCTTGCCCGAGGTTGACTATCCCGTGATTCCGAACCGCTACGAGAAGGTCCGACCCTCAAGATCGAGAGGTTCTTCAAGACGACGACGACGGCGGCCAGCGTCTTGCCTGGGTTTGATCATTTGCATTCTTGAATTGAGACCCTTTGCTTCACTATGATCTCTCAGAAGGTTGCTCAGCAATCGCTGCGGCGGCGTATGTACAGCCCGTTGCTTAGTTTGGTAGTCGAGGCTCACTAACCATCCTGCAGTTGCCGTCCAGCAGCCCTACGCCATGCGGTGGTCTTTGATGAACTCTGCCTCTCCTGCCGCTGTTGCTATGGGAAGAAATGTACAGAAGAGGTGAGCCAGCCCACAATATCGCTGTTCATATTGTGCTTTTCGGGTTGTTCCGCACCAATACCTCCGTCGGTTCATATTTGCAACATTGGCCGCTACGTCATGCGACAATCTGGAATACACCTTCGAGGCATCAACTCGTTACAAAAGAACGAACATCACTGAAGAGGAATTGACGAATACTGATGCGTATGACCAGACACGCTGCTTCCACCACATCCCAAGCCGATGCCTCCAAGATCCTCGCCCAACAGCGCTTGAATCGCCCCGTTTCCCCTCACCTCTCCATCTACCGTCCGCAAATCACCTGGATTGGCTCTAGCGCTCACCGTATCACCGGCATTGCTCTTTCTGGCTCCTTGTATCTTTTCGCAACCGCATACCTCGCCGCGCCTCTGTTCGGTTGGCACCTTGAATCTGCCTCCATCGCTGCCGCTTTTGGCGCTCTACCCATTGCTGCAAAGGTATTCATCAAGGGTACCGCTGCCTTCCCTTTCGTCTACCACTGCTTGAACGGTGTGCGTCACTTGGTCTGGGATCTTGGCCGTGGAATTTCCAACCAGCAGGTTATCAAGTCTGGCTGGACCGTGGTGGGGCTGACTGTGGTTAGCGCGCTCACTCTTGCTTTGCTGTGATTTTCATTGTATTACATACCTTTTGAGTCGTTGTTTTCTGAAAAATTGTTTTCCCATACAATATATTACACTGTTCAAATGATTACTGATATCTGAGATACTCTTTTGGTCTACTATCCCCTACATGCCTGCTACACCACATTGGGGGGACTTGAGGAAAATACCAATGTAGGGTCTTTCAGAGACAAGCGATTCTGCTTCGCGATGACCGGACTGTGCCTATCTCCAATGGGGATCAACAGGCTCAGATCATTAGAAACTTGGTGATGTATTCGACGGCCGACTGATTTGATTACAGGTCATGGCGTCCATGATGCTCAGAATGATATGGAATTATAACATGCAGTCTCTATCTTCCCTCTCTGATCAACCGTCCTCGAGAAACAATCTATGGATTCCGCACGTCATCATGCAAGTCTACTCAAAATAAGGATCCTTCCTAATGCCTCCTCGCACGACCTTCCGTTTCCGCTCATGGGATTATGGTGAATTGCTTCGGAAATTCTTGAGATCATGTCAGCCTTTGCCGTTCGGGCTATTACTTATATCCATTGCATGGAGGGCTATGGAAGGAATGTCGAGGCCTGGTTGGCTTACCTATTGTTGCATATCATCTCAGACTAAGGTCGACAGCCAAGCCAATCACGAACTCACGCAGGACTTGGAGGAGGATTGGGCGGAAACGGTCTCGGTGATGGTGGATCTTGAACTGAAAAACTTCCTATTGAGTACCTCGCAGCGCTCTCAAGATGATTTTGAAAGCCCCATTTCGATAAAGGCTCGAAATTCGCAAGGAGGGTGTTGCCGGGATTCCGCTGAACGGCCATCTTTGAGGACGATTATGGACCTCCGCTTGGTTGTGTGAAGCTTGAAATAGGCAACAAGAAGCTATTGGCGGGACACGACTGAAGAGGAAGGTCTTTCTCAGAGCTTATGTGTTGCGAAGACTTCCTTCGACTGGATTCAGGCCACTTGAGAATTGCTGAAGCTCATCATCGGTAACCAGGCCAGTCTCGCTTTTTAATACTTCATAATACTGCGGCCATTGACGGCTCCGAATGTGTTCTCCTTACCAGGTTAGGTTGTACACCGCCATCTCGCTGGTGATCGGACTTGCGGGAAGAGGCCGCTTGGATCTGGCACTTCGGAAGTTCTACTGAATATGTACGCGCTTGCCTCCATCTGAGCTTGGGAATCTAGAAGCTTCCTCATTCATCTCTGCAAGGGCCCGAGGGAGCCCAATCTGTTAGA